ACTGGACACAGACAGACCTGACTGTCCAGAGAGGACAGGCTCAGTGACCACAGCCTGGCCATAGAAACTGGACACAGACAGACCTGACTGTCCAGGGAGGACAGGCTGTACTCTTAATTCCAGCATGGAGAAGCAGAGACAGAGATGCACTTTCTGCTGCACTGTGAGAAATACTCTGGGATCAGACAAAAATTCTTCCCTAAAATAACAAATCTAATCCCAGAATTCCCACACCTGACAGAACCAGAACAGGTCCCAATCCTACTGGGAGAGGAAACTCAATAGAGCTGCAGCCCAGTGTGTGATCTCCTGTCACAGCCTGATGAACAGAGAGAGAGAGTCTCTCTCATAATATGTTTTATGTGGGACATGTATAATATTAGTTTGTTTTGCTGTAAGTGTGGTGATCATTATATCTGCCCTGGCAACACTATAACTCTTGAATTTCTGGAGGGGGATGGAGAGAGGCAGAGAGGATGAGAGAGAGGGAGAGAGATATCTGGGCTCCAGGTGGGTTCAGTGCAGGGTCAGGCAGCTGTGTTGTCTTTAGGGAGCGGAGAGGAGCTGGGGCACGCTGAACCAGCAGACAGACTGCCAGCGACCCTGCTAGGCCCCAGGAGTGACACATCTCGGGTTCTTTCTCCTCTTCCTGTGTGCTTTCACTCGGCTTGAAATAAAACTGTTGGCTCAGCTGCATTTACACAGCTCCACATCTCAGGGGCTGAAGAGATTAAGTTCCTTCATCCCCTCGTTGGTTGTTCAGCAAGAGCCACGACTCCACTGAACTGCGTTAAAAGCGTCTCATTGCCAACAACCACCGCTGTATGCGCTATTGTTGTGCATCTGATAAATAAACCTTGATTGATTGATTGAGTCACATGACGCAGCCCAGGGGCAGCCTGGTGCTGCGTTAGTTATCATTACTGCCTTACAGCGCTGGGTGGGGAGATACAGAGAGAGAGTGGGGTACGGTGAGAGAGGGGTACAGAGAGAGGGGTACAGAAAGAGGGGAGATACAAAGAGAGAGTGGGGCTACAGTGAGGGGGGCTACAGTGAGCGCTGGGTGCTGTCTGTGTGGAGTTTGTGTGTTTGTGTGGCTTTCCTCTGGGTGCTCTGGTTTAATTGCACAGTCCAAATGGAAACTGGTAAGGTACTGGCTTCTGGGAAAACTGGCCCAGGTGTGTGTATGTCTGCCCAGTGTTGGACCGGTGTCCTGTGCAGGGTGTATCCTGCCTTGTGCCTGGTGCCTTTCAGGATAGGCTCCAGCTTCCCCATGATCCTGGATTTGGTATTTGGAAAATTAATGGATGGATGGACTCAGACCAATTGCATACCTGTGTGAATTGCTGTACATACTCTTTTGAATGGACACAGAAGAGTTTTTGAAAACCGCAGCATCAATCTGTCGGTCTGCCCAGTGGTAGAACTCGCATTCTGCACACAAACGGCATGTCCAGGACACCTCCCCCTGCCTTGCAAACGACAACACTGACTTTTACATCTTTTCCCAAACGCTTCAGGAAAAGTATCAGAACCACTACAGATCCCATGAGTGGGCAGTTCATGGAAATTCTATGGAGTTCAGTTAACCCCTGAAAGTGAATACACGGACGTTAAGCGGAGCAACCGGAGCTAAATCCTTCTCATGCCTGAAGTGTGGTAAACAGCGCCCCCTGCTGCCTGACTTATGTATGTTCCTCGAGAATCCTCACCCGCAGGGAGCTGGAGGAAATTGGAGGCCAGCTGATCACAGGGCTGGGGCTTTGCACAGCTCCCCTTTACTGTTTAACAGGGGAACAGCCCCACGGTGTCTAACACACACGCGCAATTGAGCCAACAGACCCTTTGGCAACGCTGGCTTCCAGGGTGCCAGAGTGTGTTTGAGAAAGGTGGGGGGAGCCAGGGGCCCCCCTGTGGAGCCCCTGCAGGGGCCGCAGAGGACATGAGGGCGGGTCAGGAGAGCCGGGAGGGAAGAGGATGTCAGCTCTGTCACAGAGCAGTGCGTCCAATGTACAACACCAGCGCAGCACAGTCAGCTCAAAGCCAAGCCGAAGAGGGACGAGGACCGAGACCGGACTGGCCGGGTTTCATACTGAAGAGGTACGAGGACTGAGAGCTCTTAAAACCAGTCAGTGGAGCTCTGGTAAAGACAGGATACTGCTCATAAGAGTAGGATCTTTGGGGGCTCACCAAGCTGTGTTCAGATACTGGGAGAAATCAGCATCTTAAACCCATCCACAGGCAGGGGTCTGATCTTGGACAAACAATACAGACCACTGGGTCTTACAGTGGTCACAACCCAAGCTATGGTTAAATACAGTGCGAATGGATGGATTTTGCTTGGTGATATTAATCTCTCTAGGGAATAGGCGGATCCTGTTCAAGCAACATGATAACGATAGACGTCAGTGTTGCTGAATGAGAGCCTCAGATCAGTTGTTTCAAACTTTACTCAGAGGGTGGTGGGAGTGTGGAACAAGCTGCCCAGTAAAATTGACAAAGATGATACCCAGGCTTCTAAGAAACAGCTGGACGAGACCCTCAGACTCAGATTTAAAACTGAGGCCAGGAGGTGGTTCTTCACACAGAAGCTGTCTGAAACAAGCTGCCCAGCCATGTCATCGAGGACAAATCTCAAGGAATCTTCAACAAACAGCTGGATCAATAGACACTCATATCTATAAGCCGTTATCTATATAGCAGCGCCCAAATGAGTGCACTGGGTCCTCGTTTTCTGATGGTCTTATTAGCACTCAGTTCAATTTTTAATTCAAACAGCTTTATTGGCATGACCAATGAATTAGAGCGTAGCTAAAGCAAATACAATTAACAAAACATCGAGCATTATTAAGAGCCAGGCTCTCTGTTCCTCAGGCTGTACCAGGAGTTCACTTTCTAGGCTGCCAGTGCAACCGAGTTCCTCCCCCCCTCTGATTCTGATCTGATTCCGGCGGGTGTACAGTACTCCTTCACCAACATGGCGGCACGCTGACTTCACTTGTCGTTGCTGCGTGGTGATTGGACACTCCCCGACGAGGGAAGGCCTATCGCAGTCTGCGTTGCTGGGACGTGGCGGGCTCGCGGGTAGTGGAACGGTGTGTTTATGGAAAGATGGAGACGCTGAGCTGCGATTTCAACGATTTAGTGAAGATAAAGAAGGACCTGATCGCCGTGGTCGCCCTGTGCCGGGAGAGAGGGCTGGCGCACAGCGTGAAATGGTGAAAGCGGTTCGGCCGGGGTGTCTGTGAGGTGACGGAGGGGCTCCGGCACTGGTCGTTATTGCGGGATTTTATGATCTTATTTCCACGTTCTTTTCGTGAGCGCAGCTATAGCCAAGGAAAGTGTCAGTTTGTTCTGTGAGGTTGTGTGGAGGCAGAGGTGGGCTTGTGTCGCATCCTGTTGCTGTTTGCATAAACTGTTCTTATTTGCAGTGGGAAGTCGAGGCTGCATCTTGTTGCCTCTTAGCAGAGCTCATGCAGTTAACTCATTCTCTTCTCGTTTCTGTTCCTTAAGAGCATGAATCAGTGTTCTGTTTTGCTATTTGCCTTGCTGCTTTCTCTTCGTGGTC